ATACCAAACATCACAGAGACAAGCCTCAAACCTTCTGGCACAAAATCATGTGGAGTGATGAGACCAAAATTGAGCTTTTCAGCCACAACTATAAACACTACATTTGGAGAGGAGTCAACAAGGCCTATGATGAAAAGTACACCATTCCTACTGTGAAACACAGAGGTAGATCTCTGAGGTTTTCGGGATGTGTAGCTACAAAGCCACATGAAAGTTGGTTGGAATTGATGGCAAGATAAATGCAGTATGTTATCAAAAGATACTGGAGGAAAATTTGCATTCATCAGCCCGGAAGCTGTGCATGGGACGTACTTGGACATTCCAACATGACAATGATCCTAAACACAAGGCCAGGTTGACCTGTCATTGGCTATAGCAGAATAAAGTGAAGGTTCTGGAGTAGCCATCTCAGTCTCCTGACCTCAATTTCATTGACCCACTCTGGGGAGATCTCAAACGTGCAGTTCATGCAAGACAGCCCAAGAATTTACAGGAACTGGAGGCTTTTTGCCAGGAAGAATGGGCAGCTTTACCATCTGAGAAGATAAAGAGCCTCATTCCCACATACCCCAATAGACTTCAAGCTATCATTGATGTTAAAGGGAGCAAGACACTGTATTACGAACTGTGGTATGTAAACTTTTGATAAGGGTCATTTGGGTAGTTTCTGTTGTCATTATGATTTAAAAAGAATAAACACTGTTGATTGATAATAAATGGCTTCAGCCAATCACTAACCATGAATGAAAGAAAAGTTTTTGTGTTATCATATCATTCATATTCTCTGAAAAATGGCCAAGAAATCATAAATTCTGCCAGGTTATGTAAACCTATGAGCACAACTGTATTCTTAGGCAACCATACTTTAAGTGTAGTGTATACATGCATGTAAATATGCATAGAATGTTAATCTGAATTTATGTTTATTCTAGTTCGAAACAGAACACAAACTTTAAAAAAATATTACTTTTATTTTCAAGAGACTCATGCTCTTCAAATAAGTCTTGTGGACTATTTAGAAACTAGAGGGTGAAATTCTTCTGTTTGAGTGATTGCAAAAATTATGAAGTGGTATCCTACTAGATTTCAAAATAACAACCTGCTATTTAAAAGGCACATATTATAACCATTGTGCTATTATAGAATTCATAGCAAAAGTAGTTTTAAAATGTATCAGACACTATGATACACAGAAACTCTGTTGAAGAGTCATTACCTGTGAAATAACCAATTAATAGTTGTGATTAACCTGCAAAGAACTGGACTATGCTATGCTAAATGAACAGGAATATTCACCGAAATGGATAATTTTGCTTGGGAGTTGGGAATAGCAAAACAAACTAGCAGATTGCTTTGAGTGTGAATGAAGGATTAATAGAGAGTGATATGTTTCTGCCTGTCAGAAATGGTAATTAGACTGTTCTTGTGATGGACCAATCAGACAGAGTGGATAAATCTTAATAAAGGACGGTAAGAACTGTTAAGTTGCCCATCAATATTAGCTCTACATTCACAGAATGAATATAGAGTCTATGAACTATTTTGTGTATTTGAAAATCATCGTATTTTAAAGTTGTGCATGCTTTAGAAATGTTTAGCAAGCAGTGCTTTTGAATTTATAGAGTGGAAGTATAGCACCTCTTTGATATCTTTAAACCAAACTTCTATTTTTCATATTTCAATTAAGTCTGGAAAAAAGTGATGTTGCTTTAAGAGTTTCTTTGTGGAATTTCCCATGGAAGCCTACAAAAAATGTGGCTGTTTTAAAAAGTAGCAGAGAACTCTTCATGTGTGAGATTTGGACCACATTTTCTGAACAATTTTCTAAGAATACATTCCTCTATCCACAATAATTATCCACATATACAAATCCATACATATAAAGAACATGTGTAACTTTATATACACTATATATAGCTCAACATTTTTCTTTCTCATTCTTTCTGATGCAATCTTTATATTTTTATTGATGTGATACCAAAAAGTGAGAAAAAAAGCTAGGCAGTTCAATTTCATTTATGCTTTGAACATATTCAAGCATTTACCTTAATCTGTAAGCACTTAGATCTGTATAAACAATGACATTTTCTGTATCACCATGCTCCTTACTCACTCATGAGTAACTTTTTCATGCCTCCTGGATCAAGACTTGGAGGATGGAGACAGGCAGTTTTAAAATCCTGAAGTGAGTAATAATATTTGTATAATTCTAATGGTAGACATTACCACCATTAGGATTATATAAAAACCAAAGAAACCTGGATTTTTAATTCTGAAAGTGATTCAGTTGGATGACCTGCACACAGTAGTATTTATATTTGTTTGCAATAAAGTTTTAACATGTATTGTAAAAATACAAATTGAATTAAAATATAAAAGAAAAAAATTTAAAGAGTGCAAGAGAAAGAACAAAGAGAAAAGAGAGAAAGTAAAAGAGAGAAAAGGAAAAAGAAAGACAACAATAAAAAAGTGGCTTCCAACTGTCATCGCACAGAGCATAATCTAACATTATGACTCTTCAACTTCTCTTAAAATGAAAAGCAAATTCCTCTTCTTCCCATAACTTAATTCATATCTATACACAATCCAGAAATCATCTTTTCTATATTGGTTCAGCAAAAAGTCAGTTAGAAGCTAACAGAAATGTCATATTAATAATTTATCCCTAATCAAATGATTCAACTTCCACACCCTTTCCTTCTGTGCTTCACAGTTTTCATCTTTAATTTATTCCACTGGTGGCTCAGTATTTAATCTTTCAGCAATCTTTGGCATTCCAAAAATTTTTAACTCAATATATATTTCAGTCTCATTTATCACAAAATATTACTCCCTTAATAATATTTATGTATAGAATCAGTGAATGGTTAACAATACATTTCTTATCAGCAAAGAGTGTTTACATCTTTACTCTAAACCCTGAATTTCTGGTCATCATTTAGGAGTGATTGAACTGTACTTTGCTTCATAGTGTGCTGGGAAGGAATGGAGAGGTCTGAGTGGTTTGTTACAGAAATTGTTTAAGGCATTTGTAGAAAATCAGATTTTTCTTTTCATAACTACTTTATATGAAAACATACAAAATGTCCACCATGTGTATTATAAACTGTCTTTAAAAAGTCCAATAAAGTTGCAAGCTTTGGCAAGCTTCTAAGCTAGATTTATAGTATAGTGAAATATGGAATTTCCATCATTCTTTTTTTTTCTAATCTCCCCAATGACTTTTTTTTTATATGTGAGCGTTTATTTTAATGCAAAAAGGGAAATTCTTATTTTTGTGCAGCTGAATGTAAGCAAACGAACCTACATACCAAACAATTTATTGTCCTTTAGTTTTATATGGACACCTTGGATCTATAAATGATGTAGTCTTGATATGATACACTGTACAATTTTCTGGGATTTTATCATGGACATAACTGGCAATTTGCATAGTTCCAGAATTTCCATACTTACAATACGAATCGGCTGAAAAAAATAGTCAGCATGAGATTTCATGTATCTTAAATTGTTTAGTTTGAGAAACAACAACCTACACATAGATAGAAACTCCACATGATTATTACAATTCATTCAAAAACAGGTTCTAGGAAGTATATAGGATTGCAGTTTCTCTTGTGTCCCTTTCCCTGGGTTGCTTAGCTAAGTATTTTATGTAATAGCTGTTTTTTGATATAGCCTTACTTAGTCAGTGCCTTACTATGGAACTCGGCAAGCACACATGCACATGCATACAAATATTATTCTTGTGATTTCCCCCCTTCTGTTTATATTTGAAATAAATATTCTTGTATTGTGGCAATACTAAACATGGATACTAGAATATAAGCACTTTTAGACATAGAATTAATGGAAATAGAAAAATAAAGTGCTATAATTTGCAAATAAGCAAAAATGCATGGAATTGCCACAGGGATATTTGTAACATTGTAGAAGGTCAACAAAAATGAAAAAAAATGCTGTGTTTTGCAAGATAGCAATATTGATTTCTAGGGGCTTAAATGAAAGATCTAAGGTCATGTTGAATTTCAATGCTGTATTATCAGCAATCTTGTCAAAATAACGAATATACAATGTACATGCCGTGGTTTTGCTTGCTACTAGGAAAAAAAAGTACAAATTTCTGCTTGCACATTTACATTAGGGTTTGCAGATAGTAAATAATAATTTACTAACTATCCAAAGGCTACAAGCCATAATAATTAGAGAGAAGCCCCATATTCAGTGATAGTCTAGCAAACAAATAGCAGGTCATTATTTTCATGCCCTATGTGTCATATCTTATGATCGTTGTCATGCCTTTTGCATGAAACTTGGAAGACATCTAACTGGATTACTACTAAAAACAAAGTTGAACTAGAAAGGTTTTTGTATTTGTTACTTTAGTATCAGTATCTATCTATATATCTTGCAGTCCAAGGATGAAGAATGTATATCTCTCAAGACATAGAATGCTTCAGTCCCAGCAAGCATGGTCTGTATGTAAGAGGGGGATAACAGATTATTTTACTATCTGGGGAAAAGAAAGAGAACAGCAGTCTCACTCATCCCCTGTGGCAAAAGGAATGGAACTGGCAACTAATTTGTTCTTTAGCACTGGTGTAATAGAATGTCCACCACTGTCTTGAGAGTGTTACATTAACTTCAGTATGACCTAGCATGACCACATTTCTTTCCTCCAGCAACCTGTGATATTTATTTCCTGAAATGCCTAAAAGATAATAGAATGGTAGTTCAACAGCATTTGAAATACCACAGATGTTCCCTTCATCTTATATGAAAGATTTAACACTGAAGAGTGAAGGTATTGCTTCAGCATATTCCATGAAAGGTTAATAAAGACAGGAAAAGATGCATAGAAGTCTTAATAGAATGCAAAGAAACAAAAGCAATTTGCTTGCTGTTTGTTTGTTTTGCTCCATAAAAATAAGGAGCTACCCCCATCCCATTGCCTTATTCTTTTAAAATCTGGTAATTGAAAATATATCTTGTTCTTACAGAACGGTTTTGCTATCGTGAGGCCCCCAGGCCATCATGCTGAAGAATCAACAGCCATGTAAGTACCAGGGAATATTGCCCATCTTGGAGTGCTAGGGTTACTGGCAATCACCTGTACTGTGGGTGTCTCAGAGGAGCTCTAATTGTTAGCAGATGACTGAAAAGGCTTTCGAGGTATCCCAGAAGGAGATTTATGATCTCAGAGATCATATAGCTTTTTATAACACACATACACACACACACAAACACACACGCAAATGCTCCTAAACATTATTTATAGCTGTTTCCTGACCAATGTGCTTTATAAAATTTCTGTTCTTCTCTATTCCACAGGGGGTTCTGCTTTTTTAATTCGGTTGCAATTACTGCCAAATACTTGCGAGACAAGCTAAATATAGGCAAGATATTGATTGTAGATCTGGTATGTATTCTTGATGAGCATCATCGTTTTAGATAAAGGGGGGAAGAGAGGAAGGGAGGAAGAACGAAAGTGTTGCATTTTCTTCTATACATTAGTCTTTTCTGCTTTTACTACTTAGAAGTAATAAAGGTGTGCATTTTTCCTTTGAATTTGGGAACCCATTAAATTCAGGATTGCAGGACTGAAACCATAAACATGTATGTTTCACTCTAATGGTGTTAACTGCAATTTTAAAGAGAAAAGGGGTAGATCAGGGTGGCTTTTATGATTCTTAAATGAACTGATTCTTCCACTATTTCAATGACCTAACAGGTACCCAAGTTTATTTTTCCATGCAGGATATCAATTTGAAGTAGTTTAATTTAACTGCATGTTTTGGGTTTGGTAGCAAGTTTGATTTTCTTCTTTAAATTGATAATAATTTGGCATGTTTTGCAACAGTCACATACTTGAAACAGAATACCATTTTTCCCTGAAAAGTTTCAAAAACGTGTATATGAATACATGATGGCTTTCATGCAGAAATATACTATTGAATGGCATTTATGTTTAAAAGAGGTAATCATTGTGAATTAGTTTTATCTATTAATAAAAACTCAAGTTCCAAACAAATGGTTAAGTGAAATGCAGTTATCGTATGTCATCTTGTTTATATACTCTACTCATGAATTAATTGGGCTTTGCCTTCTACTTAAGCACCAACTTTATCTACAGCCTAAAGGAAAACCCAAAGGTTGATTTATGAACACCATTTTTGTTTTGCCTGCCCTTCAGGAGGAACAATGCAGTAACACTGGAAAAGCATAGGCAGGAAATAAATCTTGCCAACTAAATCTAACCTGTTACATTTAATTATTTTTTGCAGGTAATAAAAATTTAAATACAGTGTATGAAAACTGTGAGGTTGTGATAATCTAAATCTTACTACCAGAACTCACAAAATAATTATTACTATAAACTCATGAATTTAATATATCCAAATGTAATTTACACAGTTAAAGACCATACAAGAGAATTCAGAATAATATTTAATTTTAGAGATGTAACATGAGCATTTGAATTGTACACAGGAGTTCCATTTCAACCATCAGTAACAAACCAGCAAATAATGAGACCTTGAATGAATTGAAATTGATCAGTTAGATTCCAATATTACAGTCATCTTCTTCCCATGAGTACTTCGTTCCTTTTTGTCCCATAGAGATTTTCTTCTTTCTGCTCTCAAAAATAATGCCAGTTTCAGTAACCAGTACTGTTTTTGGAGGCATCAAAGAACTACTCAACACAAAGTTCATGAAATCATCAGAAAGGACCACAAGTGGTCTGGGAAGAACACTAAGGTCCAGTGAGAAAATAAAAGAAACTTGCACAAAAGAGCAGCAGCATGCACCAGATGGTCTGTGAAGGATGACTCCAGCAGCTATGTGAATAGATGCCAAAAAGAATTAGGCCAGCTCTTGGGAAGAAGCCATGTGAAATCAGTGAGATCCAACAGAATCAAATAACTAGAAGAACTGAAGACAACATAATGGTTATGCAGACAACTTAATTGTTAAAAATCCAGTCCAATCATTTGAAATCCAGACTGCAAAATAAGGCCAAAACTTCTTATGCAAAAAGTTTATATGTATATCCAGGTCCCTCCATGACAGATACATGAAACAACAAATGATAGGTATTAAGAGATATCAAGAGACATTTGTAATTAAACATACTGTATTAAACTTTATAAGCAAAGCAAAAATATTAAAAAATACTAAATACAGCACCTTTACGGGTAGCCCCTGTGTCACAGCTAACAAATTAATATTGATTTATTGATTTATATCTCACATTTATTATTTTTAATAGCTCAAGGTGGTGAACATATCCTAGACACTTTACTTCTCCTATTTTCCACACAACAACAATCCATTGAGGTGGGTTGGCCTGAGAGAGTGTGACTGGCCCAAAGTCATCCTGCTGGCTTTTTTGACTAAGGCAGGGTTTGAACTCATGGTCTTTCCACTTTCTAGCCTACTAGTGTATTAACCACCAGACAACTAGGGTATGTTATTTAATATATTACATAATCTGGAACTTTATATAATATATTCCTATATATATATTCTGTAATAGATGTAGCACTATAAGAATAAATGTAAAAACAGTAATAACTATCAATAATTCATCTGTCTTGAAATTCTTTGCCACTAACCTCCAATAATAGCCATACAGAGGAAGCACATTCAAGATGGAAAAACTAGTGAACAAGAGCCATGTGGTCAAATGGCCAAGTAGCACTGTTTGTTACCCTTAGCACAACCAAATTGTCATAAAGAAGCCATATAACTCTTCATGCAGATTATGAATTAAGAAAGTGGTCACTGACATTGTTATGAATGAACTATTAATTAAACAAGTGATTGGATCTATTATCTTTATAAAATGGACATCTTGAATACCATCACTCTTTCGTTTAGTGATCAAATGCAGGAGCTCAATTTTTGAACCCAGTTGTGTTGACCAACAAAATAAATATCAGCATGGACAATAAAAATAAAAAGATTAAAATCCCACGTGGATTTTATTATTGGTATTATCCTTTATGCTGTAAATTTCAGTTAGCACTGTGTGTGATTGTCTCAAGTATAAGGAAAAACAGAAACTGTAACAAGAAAATTAGAGGGCATAGCAAACGATTAAGTAGGAAAGACTCATAAAGGAGATAATGAGTCCAAATCTTGTAATTTTGATCATTAATAAAATGTTACTTCTGGAATCTGATAAACCATCATTGCTTTAGAAATATAGACATATAAAATGAATTAAAAGGAACTACACTTATAATTCTACACAGTAATTATCTCATTCTCACCCATGGGAGAGTGGAAAAGTGATGGGGCATCCAATCTTACTAAATTTGGGGAAATATGACTTCAGAGAACCCTAAGAGACAATTGCTTTATCTCTTTATTGCAAATGCTGTTAGAACTTTAATAGTAAACTATTAAAACAGCTTCTAGGCACAAAATTCAGAATATGTTATGAACAGCAACAAACCCAGTCCACAGTTTTTCTTTCTGCTGTTTATTTCATAAGAAGATGTTAAATAGCAGTTCAGTAGGGGAATAGACTTGCAGCTGGCCAATATATATGATAACAGGCATACATGTTGAAGTGAGGAACTTTGCAGATAGATCACTATAGCTATAGGCTTCAGAAATTGTAGACTGCTCAAGCCATATACTGTAGTTCACTTTCATTCATGGAATAAATAGTCCTGATATAAGCACATGTCAATATATTGTGGCAATGCAATCCAACGGAACCACAAAAATGATGTATTATATACAAATTGTTCCAAATTCTATTGTTATAAAAACCAAAGCTATGATTGCAAACATAGTTTGCTACATATTATGAAGCGTATAATCATAATTATTTGGCTCCAACTTCAACATGGTCTGCATAATACCCCACATAATAATGTGCCAGTCCACTATTGATTGAAGAATCAGTGTGAATCCTATCTTCCAATTTCAACTGGGGCTAGGAAAAGAAAAAGCAAGGTTAATAAGCAGCAATAGGGTTGTTTTGTTATACAATAAGCTCTTAATTTCATGGATTTTGGTTTAATGAAGATTTAAAAGCCCTATCTGCTGAAAGAGGTTTGTCTGAATTTTAGACAATAATGGATTTAGTTCAGACAATCCTAAGCTTTCTTTCAAAATCATATCCACTACTACTAGTAGAGAAAGTTTTCTTCAGTGCTTTACTGCTGAAAAGCTACCATTTATTGAATATTAGGGTTTAATGGACATCCATTGTTAATCTATTCAATCGATGATTAACTCAAATTTAGATTTGAATTACTGTTTTACTTTTAATTAGACAATTGTTTATTCTTTTGATCATCTTCAGTAAAATACTCTGAATGTGCTTTGAGTCTCAAAAAAATGGTGCAAAATAAAGAACGGACAAAACAGATAATGCTGATATTGATTTTAAAAAGCTATAATTATATGCCTATAGATATCTATTCCAATTTTTTTAAAAATACAATGGTTTCAGAATTATGTTGTTTTTATTTCATATGTCAACCTGTATAAAATATTTGAGTTTGCCTTGAAAATTCTTTTATGATTATAAGCACAGAAATTAACTAGCATAGTTAGATTACCTCAGTTTATTTTCTTCCTTTTGGTCTCTTGGGATGGGAAACCCATGGCCCTTCATATCTTCTTGGGTGTTAATTCTTTAAGGCACAGCCAGCAAGGCCAATGGTCATGGATGACTCAAATTGTGGTCCAACAACAGCTGGGAAACCATAGATTCTCCATTTCACTTGAACTTTTTCCTATTTCTTTAAAGATTGAAAGTAAGATTAAATTTTGAATAATAAATACCAGAAGGAATTACAATATTCTTATATTATAGCCTTCCTCAGCTTAGTGTTTCTAGATTCACTGGGCTACAATTTCCATTATTAGTAACTACTGCTACTGGCATTGGTAATCCAGTAGACAATTATTACTAGAGAATAATCAATTTGCTATTGTGGATGTTGTAATCCAATACCAATTTATAAAGAAATGACACAGCAATTTCGAGTGTTTAAAAACTAAATTAAGGTAGAACTTCATCTGATCTATTTCTGTT